CTTCTTCTTCTTCTTCTTCTTCTTCTTCTTCTTCTTCTTCTTCTTCTCCTCCTCCTCCTCCTCCTCCTCCTCCTCCTCCTCCTCCTCCTCCTCCTCCTCCTCCTCCTCCTGTATTTTTAGGGATAGTGGGGAGTGAATAGTGAAGCCTTTGGGCCACTTGGATTCAAGGTTTCTCTTCTAACCTTGAGTAACTACAAACCCCTTGGAACTGGAGTAGACCATGGTCATAGCATACAAAATAGCAGCCATACTTTGCTATGAGTTTGGTGATCCAACATATTTAGTGGGCATTAGGTATGAAAACCATTTTGGGCTTATAGTATAGTTCTGTAATAATTATATTATGCAACCTTTCACAATCCAGACATGTGCAGATATGTTGGACCATAATATATCTATTATTTCTGCTCATTGGAAGCAAGTGGAAGTTGCAGTCCAACACATAACACACATTCTCTCTCTCCCACCCATCTTCCAATGAATGGTCACAAAGGAACTACTAATAAGAATAAAATAATTGCATCTTAAAAATTAAACACAAAGGAACCCATAAAACATTTAAAAGGTATCAGAGGAACAGGCAAAACTCCAGAATTAAAAACCCGTCTCTGTATTTTAAATATCCTAAAAACCAAAATTGTAGCTGAACAATTTTTCTTTTTCTCAACCACAGACACAAAGCATTGGGTGGAGAAAACTGATAAAAGGAGGAGGGAAGGAATAGGATGTGTGTTTGAAAAAAATTGCCCCCAAATGACAATTACTGCTGAAGGCACTGAGTTTGTTTGAGTGATCTTTGTCCCCTTTACACTTTTATAATGACTGTGAAAAGGGCAAACAAAACGAGAAATTCCTGTACAACTCAAAGTATTATGGTCTACATTTTTCTTATTTTTTTGTCTATTCTGCAAGAGTGTCAATCATTGCAAGCCCAATCAGTAAAAACAACAAATACAGGGATATTTTATGGTTTGTTTTGTCTCCTAGAGCCTACCAGGATAGACCTGTCCCCCAAGAGAACTGAGCTCACTGTGGGAGAAAGCATTGTCCTCAGCTGCAAAGCTTTCCATGACCCAACCTTAGATGTCATCTTTCACTGGAGTCTGAATGGGCAACCTATCGATTTTGAAAAAGAAGGTGGACATTTTGAAAGCATCAGGGCGGTGAGCATCATTTAAAATCCATTTTCTTTGACAAGTTTAATGGAATGAAACATGCTGGACAAATCTCTTCACTGCAAAGTTGCAGTTATGATAGAATTATAGTAAGAGGAAGGAAGGAGGGAGGGAGGGAAAGAAGGAAGGAAAGGAGGAAAAAGGGAAAGAAGGAAGGAAGGAAGGAGGGAGGGAAAGAAAGGAGGAAGGAAAGAAAGAAAAAGGGAAGGAAGGAAGGAAGGAAGGAAGGAAGGAAGGAAGGAAGGAAGGAAGGAAGGAGGAAGGAAAGAAGGAAGGAAGGAGAAAGTAGGAAGGAGGAAGGAAGAAGGAAGGAATGAAGAAAGGAAAAGGGAGGGAGGATTCATTTACAGAATTTAGTATCTCATTTAATTAAATTAATTAAAGTATAGGATATTTACTTTAAACAAAAATAAATTGCAGTGAATCCAATCACTTGCCTATTGTTAAAATATTCATGAGTTTAGGCCTTAGGTACATTGGATCTTTAATACTATAATTCCTGATTATTTACTGGAAATCCTGGAATTTCTTTCTCAATTCATTTCAGAATAGGAGTGACAAAAGCTTATTTCATGTGAATGAGAATCATCTCCTTTCTTTTACTTTCCTATTTTTTCTTCCCTTCAAAGATGATAATGCTTCAGACCTATGGTGGCAGCAAACTCCTAGTTAAATAGCTGTCAATAGAAAGTTAGGCTTTTTAAAATTAATTTCGAAAAGAGTAGCCATGTTAATCATTTTCAGAAAACAATAATAAAGAATACAGAAATATTTTAATAACTAGCATGTTTACCTGGAATAAACATTCATAAAGACAATTTCGATAGATGTTAAGTACTCCTTTAATTAACTACAATTTATTTTACAGTCACTGTAAAACAATGGCAAACAATGTAACCTAATGCTCCATATATAAATAAATCCTGTCTACTATTTTTTAAAATCCCATTAAGATTATTATAATTGGTTGGTGTTATTTGAATGATTGGTACTGAAGATATTAACTAAATATTAATAATATCAGTAAATGCAACTCTAGTTATGCACAAACTCATACAACAGCCAGTATTTTGTTGAAAGTCCACAACTCCACATCTAACTAAACATCTAACTAAACATCCCATAAAAATTCATTGCCCCGGAGAAAGACTTCAACTCTGGAAGTTGATTGGCAAATAAAAATATTTTGGGCTTTTCTTATGGACATTTCCTGGAATGATTATGATTGTGAGTATTCCCAGCCATAAAAGAGACATTTACCTTAGGAACTCCAGTGGCGCAGTGGTTAAAATGCAGTATTGCAGGCAAACTCTGCACACAGTCTGGAGTTCAATCCTGAGGAGGCTTAAGGTCGATTCAGCCTTCCATCCTTCCAAAGTCTATAAAATGAGGGAGCAATATGCTGACATTTGTAAACAGCCCAAAGAGAACTGTACAACATTGTGAAGCAGTATATAAGTCTAAGAGCTATTGCTATTACCAAAGTCAGCAGAATTTCAAATGAAGCACTGAGTTGACAGTCCCACATTCTGCTTATGTTTGCAAGGCAGTTTCTCACTGGTCCTCCCACAGAGATGACAGTACTCTCTCTGGTTGGTCAATGGGTTTGGTGCAAAACCAAAACATCCCAGTAGATAACTTGAAACTCTTGTTATTCTTTTACTCAGTATACTTTCCTTGGCAAGGGAGAAAGGGGAGAGGAATCTAATTGGCTCTGGTGTGAAGCCAGTGAAATGTTTGTCCCTTAAAACATCTGAAGAACCAACTTACAGTATCAGATACCTGGTTCATATTACCATATGTGGTAGACATGTTCAGACGCAAAGAAATATTGGACTAAAATCCACGCATGGTTGGAAAAAATGATAAAACAGCATATAGACTTTAAACCAGAGATCTTTTTATTGGGAGTCATACCAGACATATATAATAAAGAACTGAAATATTTGATTGTAAATGTATGCAGGAGGAAGTTATCAAAAAAATTATGGACTGTGCTGAAATGAGTAAACTGACATTTGAAATTAGAGAACAAGAAGATAAGCAATTTTATATGATATAGGATTTGTTTTATCAATGGTTGGATAAAAAGGCATGGTAATATAATAGACTAGATAATTTTGTGATAGAAATCTAATAGATTGATATAAAACATAATACAGATATATATAACCACTGGTTGAAAGTATAACCTAAATTTTAAGATAAAATGTGGAACATCTCATATAAAACTATGGAATAAATAGTTTAGCCATGGATGATTAATAACTGATAAATATATAAACATATGTTAATTTGACAATGTGAAGATTGATATAAATTGTGAGTAAATGACTACAAAAGTATAGCACAAAATATACATAACCAACTGACACACTATATGTATATAAAATGGAAGAGGATTTTATGTTTTTATGTTTTTGTATGTGTATGTTTGTGTTTAAAAATAAAAAACTTTATCTAAAAAAAAAAGAACCAACTTACAGGACCAGATGGCTTTGGGTCGACCACTCTATCTCAGCCACCTCACAGGGCAGTGATTTTGAGGAAACCAGGAGGATTGGGTATGTTCATTGCCTTGAGTTATATATAAAAATAATAAAGGAGGGATATAAATAAAGTAAATAAATAATAAATGAGAGATGGGACAAGTGTGTTCACCAATGAGAAACAGCTCAGAAGGAAATACGTCAATCTTCACAGCATTTATTTTAAGCCAGGATTAAGAATCAGTTCAGTTTCTTAAACTGAACAAAATTAGGAAAATAAGCTCCTTATAAAATGGATAGTATTTTACATCGAGGGCTTATTTTTTCATAAACCTAGAAGGAATGTAAGCTGGTTGGTTACAGAGATGGTATTCAACAGGTTCTGACCAGTTCTGGAGAACCAGTAGCAGAAATTTTGAGTGGTTCAGAGAACCGGCAATACCACCTCTGTCTGGCCCCTCCCCCATCTATTCTCTGTCTCCCGAGTGCCAGCTGATTGACTGGGTCTTCTTTTGTTGCCCTGCACAGGAGAACAAAGCTGGAAAGCAGGTTAGTGGGGTGGGGAGGGAATGGAGATTTTACAGTATCCTTCCCCTGCCACGCCCACAAAGCCACATCCACAAAGCCACACCCACAAAGCCATGCCCACAAAGCCATGCTCATAGAACCAGTAGTAAAAAAAGTTGAATCCCACCAGTGGTTGTTTGGTTTGCTAATTATATGGTAGCAGGCCACTGTTGACTCTTAGATAGATCTACTCCAGGATGATTATTGATTGAGGTCGTTCCTTCTGAGCTGTTTCTCATTGGTGAACATACTTGTCCCATCTCTCATTTATTATTTATTTTATTTATCTCCCACCTTTATTATTTTTATAAATAACTCAAAGCAATGAACATACCCAATCCTTCTATTTTCCCCATAACTATCCTATGAGGTGGTTTGGATTGAGGTAGAGTGACAGGCCCAGTCTCCTGGTCTTGTAACCTGGTTCTTCAGAGGTTCCAAAAATATTCTGATCACCACTGGAATCGGAGAAAGATACTATGTGATTTTTTAATTATTATTATTGCTGTAATTTGGTTGAAGAAAATAGTATGCTTTTCACATATAATACATGCCACAATAAAGATTCCTATGAATATTCCTTATGGCTCTGAGAAGCCTACATTTGAAATCTCTAAAGTTCTGAAGAAAGTGACAAATATGCCAGTAACAGTAAAACTACCATTTAAAAATCCTAGTTAGTGAATTTATGATGATACAACAGGCACAATCTGTCTCTGGAGATTGCCTCAGAATAGCAGGGAAAACCTATGTTATTTCAGTTACTCTGGCCATTTCACATAAATTAACATCCATAATATAAATGGCAATAATTGACACCAATAATGCAAATTCAGATTTAACAAACATTGGTCTGTGGCAGATATTCAAGCCACCCATATGGTCCTTTAAATTAAGATGTTTATTTCTTACCGAGAATTCAACAGCTTTTTTAAAAAAAGTTTTTTATTTTAACAACAAACAAAACAACATAAGACATACAACATAAAACATAAAAACATCATCTTTGTTCATAAATTTACAAACAGTGTATCGGTTGGTTTACCACTTTTTTTTTTTGTGCATCCATTTCCTAAACGCTAATATAATTATATTACATAATAACTCATATTATCAATCAATAATTGTATAACCTAATATCATCACTAAGAAATCATTTATCTATACTTTAACGAGATAACTATAATTTACTTAATTTATTTTGCAATGAATCGTAAGATCATACCAAATCTATCTTAATAAAGTTTTATAAAAATAATATCAAAAAAAATTATATCCTAAGTCTGAATGTTCTATTATTATGTTTTATTATCTAACCATTGATAAAAAAGATCCCAAACTTCATAAAATTGTTTATCTTCTTGTTCTCTAATTTCAAATGTCCATTTACTCATTTCAGCACAATCCAATATTTTCTTAATAATTTCTTCCTCTGATGGAATTTTCTCACTCTTCCAGTTTTTAGCAAATACAATCCTAGCCGCTGTTAATACATTTACAATCAAATACTTCAAATTTTTATTATATGTATCAGGTAAGATTCCCAATAAAAAAATCTCTGGTTTCAAGTCTATATGTGTCTTTATCATTTTTTCCAACCATATGCGAATTTTAGTCCAATATTTTCTAGCATCCTCACAAGTCCACCACATATGGTAGTATGAACCAGGTATCTGATGACATTTCCAGCAGTTTTCAGATTTGTTCTTGAACATTCTTGCAATTCTTGTCAGGGGAAAATGCCACCTGTAAAACAGCTTTAATGTTGGAGAGCATAATGGGCAGATTAAATATATATAGTTAATTGATTGGGTCTTTGGGGCCCTTAAAGTTTCCAATTTGTATTCCTCTGTAAGGATGTTGCTTGATGAAGGAGAAGGCATACAGGACAAGACTTTAAATACAGACTGAAATGTGTTGA